AGAGCGGAGGGGGCGGAGCCTGTTTATACAGACAGAGAGCGGAGGGGGCGGAGCCTGTTGATACAGACAGGAGAGCAGAGGGGCGGAGCCTGCTTATACAGACAGAGAGCGGAGGGGGCGGAGCCTGTTTATACAGACAGAGAGCGGAGGGGCGGAGCCTGTTGATACAGACAGAGAGTGGAGGGGCGGAGCCTGTTTATACAGACAGAGAGCGGAGGGGCGGAGCCTGTTGATACAGACAGGAGAGCAGAGGGGCGGAGCCTGTTTATACAGACAGAGCGGAGGGGGCGGAGCCTGTTGATACAGAGAGCGGAGGGGCGGAGCCTGTTTATACAGAGAGCGGAGGGGCGGAGCCTGTTGATACAGTCGGTGACCTGGAGGCCTTCTGAGGAGCAGGCCGTGCATAGACCTGAATGAGATGAAAAGCTATTGTGCCAGGACATGAGGAGGGATGTGCCAGACATAGGATATTACAGACATAGGATATTCCGGTCTAAACAAAGGTCCTGAGGTGGGTGTGTATTCAGTTGGTGTGTTGGCAGCAGCCTGTTGCTGGAAGGCTGTGTGCCAGGCAGATTGTGTGAGACAATCCCACAGAAACCCCAAAAGCCAAGCTTGACACACTCTAGGGCTGAATATGTGTTGCTTCTTTATCTTCAAAAATAGAAGCTAGACTGGCAGTAAAGTGTCTTCCTCAAAGACACGAGGACCTGCATCCCAACCCCCACAGCCACAAAAGCGGCTGGGTGTGATGGTGTAGAGCTGTCTTACCTGGGGTTTCTACACCATGACCATAAGCAACGTGGGGAGGAAAGGGTTCAATACACATCCAGGTACGGTCCAGCCCTGAGCGAGGTCAGGGGAGGAACCTGGAGGCAGGAGCTGAAGCAGAGGCCGTGGAGGGTGCTGCTCACTAGCTTGCTCCTTGCTCGGCTTGCTCGGCCGGCTTTCTTACACACTCCAGGACCACCTGCCTGGGGTGGTTCCCCCTGAAATAGGCTGGGCCCTCCCACAACAGTCACTAATTAAGAAGTATACCACAGGCTTGCCCACAGGCCAGTCTGGTAAGGGAAGCAGGAAGTCCACACGGGCACAGTGGCCTCCCTAACAGTGTCCTCCTTTGCAGGGTGTGACTGTCACTTGGAAGGTGTTCTTCCAGAAATATGTGACGACCATGGCCAATGCCTGTGCCGCCCTGGGGTTGAGGGCCCCCGGTGTGCCTCCTGCCGCTCAGGCTCCTATTCGTTCCCTATATGCCAAGGTAAGTGGGTGAACCAGAAATGCTGGTCAGCAGTCTCCCAGCTTGGACTCCTGAGGAAGCCCAGGCAAGCTCCCCGGCGGAGCAGCATGGCCTGTGGTTTAACCAGTGCCCCGCCTTCTACACGGATGCGACATTTCTCTGTCCTCTGAGACCCTTCTCTTGCTTTTCTCTAGCCTTCCTTCTCTCTGGTAGCCAGGTGCTGGCTCTGCGGTCAGCTCCCTGGGTTCAGGTCCTGGCTCTCAAGATTGGGGTCGCGAGTTCAGGAACTCGCCCAGTGGACAGAAGGAGGCAGGGATGACATGGCACCACCAGGCTGGATGTCCCAGCAGTCCCAGTCTGGTGCTGAGATCCTGGAGGATTCCCGGAGAGCCACGGGCCCTTAGTCCACACTGAAAGCATGAAGAAGCAGCTTCCTGTGTCAGTGAAGGAACCAGTAGTAGCAGCAACTGGGTAGATGAACTTTCCAGAGAGCATGAAGGCCAAGCCAGGAAAAAAATCAAAGCTTCCGCTTTCCCACATCCTTCTATCTAGGCTGCTACCAAAAGGTACAGCCCACATTAGGGTAGGTCTTCACACACCAATAAGGCAATCAGGACACTCCCTCACAGACTCCCGATACTTGATCACCACGTAACATTGTCGTGAGGGTCACGTGTACACTGATGTGCAAAGCCGAGGGACCTGCCCAGGTGTTGGCGTTCTTCCATGACGTCTCTGCCCCTCTTCCTCTGCCTGGCTTACAGAGCCTGTAATCCTGGTCCCACTTCTGGTCCTGTTTGCTTATATGTCTGCATGCCATGTTGGCTGTCCCTTCTCAGCCTTCAGCTCTCTGAGCCACAGAAGGTCTCAGCCACCCCTTTCTAGTTACTGGGTCACCCGGCAGGTTGGAGGCTAGGGACAGGGAGAAGCCAACCCTTTCTCTCTGCCGTGACCTGAGCAGAGATGCGCTGTCGCTGTCAGAAGTGGGAGTATGAGCACTCCCTGTGGGACCACACAGGGACGGTGTGCGGTGTAGGTGAGCATGTGAGATGTACTGCTGCACCCCAAGACCGAAGCGAAAGGGTCACGTGATCGTGGCCTGAACCCCAAAGCCCTTCTTTTAAGTCTCAACAGCAGAAAACCAACCAGCACATTTTGCCTACTTAAAAATCAGGCTTGGCCGGGCGGTGGTGGCGCATGCCTTTAATCCCAGCACTTGGGAGGCAGAGCCAGGCGGATCTCTATGAGTTCGAGGCCAGCCTGGTCTACCAAGTGAGCTCCAGGAAAGGCGCAAAGCTACACAGAGAAACCCTGTCTCGAAAAACCAAGAAAAAAAAAAAAATCAGGCTGGGGGGTTGGGGATTTAGCTCAGTGGTAGAGCACTTGCCTAGCAAGCGCAAGGCCCTGGGTTTGAGCCTCAGCTCCGAAGGAAAAAAAAAAAAAGAAGAAAAAATCAGGCTGGTAAGTAAGGAAATGACTGGATTTAGTTAATAAAGGTGGCTTGGGCCTTTGTTCCACCGAGGCCATTTAAATGGCCACATCATTTGCACTAATTGAACCAAAGGCCAGCAATATCTGGCACACAGAGAAGCAGCCATTTTGTTTTATCCCAGGGTCTTTTGAATGGGTCTAGGATGGGGTCTATGAATAGAACGGCTCTATGAATGGGTCTAGGATGGGGTCTATGAATAGAACGGGTCTAGGATGGGGTCTATGAATAGAACGGGTCTATGAATGGGTCTAGGATGGGGTCTATGAATAGAACGGGTCTATGAATGGGTCTAGGATGG